CAGCCCCTGGTACAGAGGACATCCATCTTAAGTATCTGCTCTTACAGGTACAGACCATTAATAGGACAATCTGTGCTCTTTGGCTCTCTCTGCTGGCTGCGGTGCACCCCATTGCTGGGCTTGTGCTCAGCAATGTCCCCCCACATTGCACCCTTTGGGGAACAGGCTGGTGTGGGGAGCAGAGATGCAGGGAAAGAAATACAGTATTTCAGCTTCTGAGAAGAATCACAAACCCTGACAAGCATAAGAAGTGAAATAAGGAAAAAAAGAGGCAGCAGCAAAGATTTACAAAAGAGCCTTACAAATGTGACAGCCAATTTTCAGGGGGATCCTTTTTCTTCCTTAAACCTCAGTCCTGAGCAAAAGGAGAGATTCTCCTTGAAGGCAGAACACAGAGCTGTGTAAGAGAGCAAACGCTCTGCCTCAGGGCACAGCAGCTTATTGCCGGGCCGGGAGGGATTCACCTACTTCTGCTCTGTGCCTGGGGGGAATCTCCTAACAAGTGTTGAGGGATGAGCAAGGGAGGGCCTGGGAGCATCTCTCGGCTCACCTCCCGGGAATGCTTTGCCAGGGCGGGAGGCCAGGAGCGTTTCCTCCTTCTGCACCGAGGAGCACGGCAGGCTGCCGGCAGCAAGAGCCAGCTGCATGGAGAGCATCAGGAGGGATGCTCTGGCGTGGTGTGTGGGACTATGTCCCTCTCTCTCTGGTCCAGCAGCCAACCCAGGTGATGATCAAAGTGTGAGTTTCAATGCGTCGCTTTATGCTTTCCCAGGGAACCTCTCCATAGGAAATACTGGGGACATTCAATTTTGTTAATTGAACGACCAGGTGGATTTCTTTGTCAGATGATGTTGGAAGTATTAGTTCATGGCGCAAACTGGAATTTGTACTATATGTATGAGAAAAACTGAACCTGGTGATTTTTTGGGGGACCTTATTTTTGTGTTCTACAAGCTGTTTATGGGGTAAGTCTCCTGAGACTGGGATCCAAAAAGTCTTCTGAGGTACTCGCAGCATCTGGCCAAACAGCTATTCTCAGAAGTGCAATTAGGAGTTAACAAAAAGTAGCAAATAATTCCCTAATAAAACAAAGGAGAAGAAAATGCTCACTGTAAGTGAGTTTTACTGCATTATTCTGGTGAGAAGCTGTCAAAGAGTCAGAAGGTGTTCAGAGAGCAGAGAGTACAGTTTGTTCCTTTATCATAATAACTTTTATTGCCTAGGTATAGCTTTTCTCACCCTGGTCAATAAACATCCTGCTGCTCTGCTTTCAGAGAATTAGGACTCGGTTGCAGCAGCAAGTGCTTCTTTCCAAATGCCTGGTGCTGACCCGTGAGGGGGCTGCAGTTGCTCTAGTGTTCCCGGAGCTGCTGGGATCGGGCAGGATGAAAGGGAAGAAGATTCCTGTGGTGAAAGTAGAGGTCTGGGAATCCGAGCTGCTCCCGGTGGCTGTGTGTCAGAGCGATGGTGTAATGCCTGTAAGGAGCCACAGAGGCAGAGTAAATGCAAAGGCAGTGCAGAGCATCTTACGGGCTGTTCTGGGTGAAGGGTAGTTGTGCCAACGGGTTGAGGCTCTTGGTCTTTTCTGCAGAGCCAAAAGGAGTTAGCTGGTGCCAGAGTGGACCCTGGCTACGGTCTGGATCCCACAGGTATTTCCTCCGCACCACAGCTAGAATCGCTTCAAGCTGCTTGTCACCAACAAGCCATCTGGGCCAAGCAAGACTTGCCTTCTTTACCAATTTGGACTGCAGATAAAAAAAAATCCTGACCTGCTTGCTAGTGCGAATGGCCCCCCTGGCATCGTTAGTTGGAGAGTTTGCTGCTGGGGATGGCTGAGAAGCTCATCACTGACTTCCCATCAGGGGATGTGTGTTTCCAGGCCTTATACAACCTTTTCTGGTTTTCATTAAAAGCAGCTCTTGAGACAGCAGTTTCAAGCCTTTTTATGTGGTTCCTCATGGTCGTTTCCCTGCATCACCTCAGATGAATCACCAGGTTGAAGATACCTGCTGGAATGGGGATTACTCTGGGTCTGCCCGTGACACTGAGTGCAAGAGGGGAGATGAATCAGCCATGTGTAGATCATCACAGTCCCTGACCTCCTTCAGGCCCGTGCTAAGGTTGCTCCTCTGTGGAACCTTGGCTCTGAGCTGCAGAGAACATTGCTTGAAAACCTCTCACGAAAACTGCTCTCCCCTTCGGCAGTTCTGGCCCGTGGGAGCTGACCGTACCTATGTGCTCATCCCAGATTCAGCCTTGTCTTCCCAGCCTGGGACACTGTTTCATGGCCAGGGATTAAATATAGTCATTTAATCTCTTTATCCCATAATTCCCACCTATGAAAGAGAAACAGTAAGTCTTTCTTTGTCTTTCTAGTCTTTTTAGCTCAGCAGGGCAAGACTGTCTCTTGCACTGTGTTTGTATGGCTCCCAGCACCTGGGAATGCTGGTGGTGCCACAGTGCAATTACATGTGGTGACACTGTATTTAATGCCCCGGGAGCCATCCCCCCAAACTCTAGTAGCTCCTGAGCTGACGGAAGGAGCAGGTTTGTCTTTCTGCCTCCGAACCAAGACATTTGCACATGCCTCCACCAGTATATCTTCATTAAGCTTCGCAGAAGCTGCCATGACATGACGCCAGCTGTTTTGCTGAAACACGCTGGTGTAGCGTGTGAATCACTCTGTCTTTAATTCCTGCTTGTGCTTGAGGATCATCCACATCCCTATTTGTGATGGGTTTCTCTCCAGCAATTGGCAGGATTAAACTCCCTTCAGAAGCACTGGCTGAGCAGTGACCAAGAGGAAAAACCTCAGGCGAGTAGTGGTCTATTTATATCCCATGAAAGATGGACTCAGTGCATAAGAATATTCAAGCCCCCGGCACCTCCACCCCCTTTCTGTTCCTGTAGCCGCTGTCTTGAAGCTGCCTCAGCATTGAAGAATTAGCTGCTTTTTGAAAGCTAAGTGGAACCTCAGCCGAGACAGTCGTGAACAGCCAGGGATGGGGAGATCTCTGCTTTACTGAATCCCCTAAAATCTGCTCTCTCTTGAAATTCCTCTACTGAATCCTCCAAAATCTGCTCTTGACAATGCACAGCAGCAAAGGATTCAGACGTGAGCTAGAACCATTGCTCTCTCCTCAGAGAGTCCGTCTCCACACTTTCAAACAGGGTCCTATTCTCACCTGTCTGCTTTTAGGGTTGAGAAACAATCTACATTACCTGTGCTTCTCAAATGTCTTTCTGGAGGCTTCCCTTCCCACAGCAGCAGCCCTGCTCCTCTCCCAAGGGTGAGTTAATCGTGCACCCTCCACAGCTGCACCAGTCACAGAAACCCAGGGGGTAAAAAAAGGTGCCCTGTGTGCCAGGGCTCTCACCCTGTTCCCCCAAAGTGCCGGGAGGGTCACTGTTCCCTGCCCAATCTGCAACGCACCCAGCTCCCATAACGTGGGTAGAGCCCTTAACCCCACCGCACTGCGTGCGGGGCAGTGGGGGCCAAGCACCGTGCTTTTCCTCAGGTCACCCCACAAAACCTATCGCTCTTACAAGGGAGGAGGGGAGGAGGCTCCCAGGAGCTGGAGAGACACAGGATCATGTCACAGCAAGGCTTCTCCAGCGGGTGCAGGATCCAGCTTCCCCGGCAGCAGCCGGGCAGGGAGCAGGCAGCCCTTAACCCTGCCTGCAGCACAGGCAGCAGAAGCGGCTGCGCCCCAGCAGCGGGAGAGAGGGGGGCGGACGGGCTGATGCTCGGACGAGCTGATGTTTGGATGAGGTCCCCTCCCCATGCAGGTCCCCCTGCCCTCGCCTGTTGCCAGTCCGGCTGCGGAGCAGCCCAGCCGAGCCGTGCGGTGGGTGAGCGTGGCAGAGCTGGGATTTCACACTGGCACTGCTATTGTTCCCAATGACAAGGGATTCACCCACCCCCAACTCAAACTGAACCAACGCCTGCCCACGGGGAAAGGAGGTGCAGACCAAGAATAAAGGCAATGGCCCACGAGCCATCGAGAACAATGCCCCACCGAGAGCTATGCTCAGCACAGACCGGAGGCAACTTAACATGCCCTCAGTTGAGGAATCCACCTCCACTGGGGTCACGCTCAGCCCTCCACCCATGAACATCTCTAAGATCCCCCATTTTTTACCTTTCCTTCACACATGATGGCTACAAAATGCTTGTTACCTTTAATCCTGAATGATGAATTTCTCATCAAAGTGACACCTGTCCCCAGTGCAGGATGCATGCTCTACACTCCAACTCGCCCACAAATGCATGTCACAAACCAGCACAGCCAGAAAGGGAAGAAATTCTGCAAAAGCATGAAGAATTTATCTTCCACTGAGAGAAGCATGCCGTTTTCCCGATGCTATCTCCTACCCTACTGAACCGTTTAATATTGCCTTTAATTATGATGTAGTGGGTAGAAAAACAGCCGTAACCAGTTTATTAGATGGAGACAGGCTGATGGCATGGGGTTAACATCTCAGCTTTACAGGGATGCAAAACGTCTCCCTGTGCAGCAGAACAAAGGAAAACTTTCCGAAGGAATCCCAGAAGCAATGTTGGTTGGGGGTGTTGCAAGGAGTAAAATATACCAGGTAAGAAAACTTTTCAGTGTTTGTGGTTGAGGAAGGACTGAGGTATGTGTGGGGTAAACTTGTGCTGTGACCCACTTTTATGATCCCCATTGCTTGGAATACACAGCTGTGATTTATAGTGATGCCTCTGGTGATGGGTGTAAATCCTCTAGACTGACTGAAGTGCCAGCGCTGTGGATTTGACAATTACATGGATTTGATATCTAAAATACCACTGTCTCTCTACATCCCTTAGAAAGACAACAGCAAAAAAAAAAAAATCACTTTAAGGATATTGTGTGCATGTGTGCATATGCATGCATGTGGATGCTGCTTGCCGCTGCTGCCCTGAGATGGGTGGCATTTCCAAGACAAGCAGCCTGAGAGGTGCCTTAGGTTTTCTCATTGACCACCAAGTCTCAGCATCACCATTTGAAACATAAACTTTATTGCAACAAAGAATTAAAAATAGTACATCTGAAAGAGTTGCAGAATGTATGTCATTAAAGAACTAGTCAGAAAACACAACTCAAGCAAATCGTGTACAATTGGAACAGAAAGTTTTATTAAAACAATTGGAATTCAAACTCAAATTTTCCTTGTTTGTTTAATTTCACCATAACCGTGGATTGTGTATTTACAGTCTTCGCCTCTTGTGGTGAAGGTTCTGCTCAGGGCAGGGGGCTAGGAAGAAGGCAGGGATGGATGGGGAGGAGAGGTGGGTTTCAAAAGCTAACAGGATGTGAAAGTTTTCCAGAAGAAGTTCTTGCAGCCTGCTTTGCGTTCCCGGGGTGCCAGAGCAGGGTTTGAGTTAGCCGAGCGCTCCAGCTCCAGTCTCACTTCATCCTGCTCAGCCCCTCGGGACAAGTCCTCAGACTCCAGGGCTTCATTTTCTGTCTGGCTTGGCTCTGAGAGCAGTTCTGCCAAAAAGTACTTGGCCAGTTCCTTGGGGGAGAAGAGAGAGAAAGAGAGAGAGAGCCCACAATTACTCTCTGGCTTTTGGGGGCTCACCGCTCTGTCCCTCTAAGACACCTTTGTGCCCAGATTAGAGACGTACAGGACTCTGGAGAAGAAGGGGAGCCCTAGCTTTCCAAAGAGCCCAGCCCGACAGCTGCTACGCAGCAGCTATGCCCACGAAATAAAGCGGAACAGAAGAGGACTGACATCTACCTAGTGTGGTGGAGAGACTGCTGTCCTGTTTGTGGCAGGGAATGAACTCTGAGCACCACCCCACCTTCCCTTCCCTTTCCACTGCTGCAGCACACTGTGCCGGACTCAGCGAGGGTGCCATGAGGCTGCTGCTAAAGTGACACAGGAAACGTCTTTAGGGGAGCTGCAAGGAAGCTGAGTCGGGTCACCCTCTCGCTGGGGGTTATTTTTCCTCTTGTCCCCCCAAGCCCTGCCTGCCCCATTGCATGGATAAGGACACCGTCCTGCTGCACCGGGGCAGCTGCCTTGGTTCAGCGCCCCAGAGAAGCCCTGGAGAGCTTCACTGGAGGCTCTGCCCTCTGCCCCGGCAGCGGCTGCTCCTCATTCCCTGCCAGCACCCAGGTGGACTTGGAGGAGGTGT